CCATCTATTAAACAGGGCTGAGAGGTAAAAGCTCACATGCAGTCCTTCTTGTTATCTTCATCTCGTCCCAGGTGATATGTGCGCATGACATGACTTTTATGTTTGTTTGACCTATTTACCCAAGAGCAAAGATGGAAAGCTGCCTGTCCCACGATGCTGAGAGCTCACAGGGAGACAGAAAGGAGACTGCCAGAGGAAACGTCTTGGAGTCGATGGCAAAGGTCAGAGGAAAATGAGGGTTTCTCCCAGTGAGGGTCCTTCCATCCCCACATCTGTGAGGGCTTACACAGCTGGGAAGGGGCGTTCTCTTTGTACCCAGAATGTCATTTCTTCTCTGGTTTCCAGAGTGTACACACTAGACAGGAAGAGCTCACCAATCCCTCGTAAGGTTGGTACCCTCCTTTCGGGTACTACAACCCTCCCCCAAGTCCTCATGATAGGACAGAGGAGGAGGAGCAAGAGGGGGAGGGGAAAGGAAGGAGATTGAGTGTGGCCAATTCTTAGAACAAAAATCAAACCAGATATTTGGCTGAATTGACAGCTCAATTCATTACTCACTGAGGCCCGTTTTAGAAACAGTTCTCAAGTCCCTGGGAGCCTCCGACCTTTGAGTAGTGACTATTGATCTCTGATGCCTGGCTAAGCTACTGCCCAGAACCCCCAGCGGCAGCAGCATTGACTTGACCCAGAACTAAACTGGGGGCAGGGAAAAGGCAGGAAGTAAGGGCAAGATGCAAAGTGAACGCTGCCAATCGATGCAGATGAGGAAGTGTGGACACCACAGGCTCTCAGCTTCACCAGCCTCGGCCTGGCAAGCAGTTCAGGTCGAGGGGCTGGCTTGGCAGCAAGCACCTCTCTCAGTCTCTGGCCCTTCTCTTTCTCCCTCAGAAAACACCTGCGGGTGGGCTGGGGCAATGGCTCAGTCGGGAAAATGTATGCCTGGACTGCACGGGGACCTGAGGCCAGTCCTCGGAATCTACATTCTAAAGAAAAACTTCAGGGGAAATAGTGACTGCTTAGCCAGAGGGTTAGAAGAAACAAGTGGATCACTGGGGCTCCCTGCTCAGCCAAGCTAGTCGATTTGGTGAGTTCCAACCCAATGAGAGACCTTGTCTCAAAAAAAAAAAAAAATAGCGTCAGTGAGATGCTTTGGCCAGTACTTGCTGCCCAACTTGACTACTGGAGTTTAATCCACCTGGCGGAAGGAGAGACCCAAGCCCGACCAGCTGTCCTCTGGCCTCCACACGCGCACCTTAGAACAGTGGTTCTCAACCTTCCTAATGCTGTGACCCTCTAACGCAGTTCCTCAGATTGTGGTGATCCCCAACCACAGAGTTATTTTCATTGCTGCTTCATAACTGTAATTTCGCTGCTGTTATGAACTGTGACATAAATATCCCATATGCAGGACATCTAACGTGTGAGCCCCGCGAAGGGGTCGCTTGACCCCCAAGAGTGGTCTTGACCCGCAGGCTGAGAACCACTGCCTCAGTATGAGCATCCACCCACTGTATTTTTTTTTTTCAAAAAATAAAGGGAATAAAAACATAGACAGCATCTGAGGAATGACCCCAGAAGCCAGCACCGGTCGTGGCCCCATTGGAAGCTTGCCTTTCCAGTAGCCAAAGGACAGGATGAAAATCTGCTGACCTCCCGCCAAAGCAACTTCCTTCAGACCTCACAGGCTCAGATGGACAGAACAGAGGCGTTCCCACCAAACTGAGCTTGCACCTGGCCCTCTTCTGCTCACAGTGACGCATCAGTAGAGCAGAGAAAGAGGTGGCTGGGCCTCCCAGATCTCAGCTTAAAAAAATGACCCGGATGTCTCCTGGGAAATCCAGTGGATGCCCCAGTAGACGCTCTTAAACATTTAGAAGCCAGTTATGTGGGGAGATCTGTCCAGAGTAACTGTCTCCCCAGAAGAAAAAAAAAATTCAACATGCAAAATTCAAGATGGACAAGAAGCATGGTGGTATATGTCTTTAATCTCAGCACTTGGGAGGCCGAGGCGGGCAGATCTCTGTGAGGTTGAGGTCAGTCAGTCTGGCCTACACAGCGAGTTCCAGGACAGCCAGGACTACACAATGAAAGCTTGTCTCAAAAAAAGTAGGGCTGGGTGTAGTAGCGCATGCCTTTAGTTCCAGGACTCAGGAGGCAGAGGCTAGACAAGCCTGGTCTACAAACAGAGTTCCAGGACAGCCAGGGCTACACAGAGAAATCCTGTCTTGAAAAACCAAAAAAAAAAAAAAAAAAAAAAAAAAAGGAGCGATGACATTTTAAAAACAATTTCAGTTTCCACACACCCTGTTTTTTGAGATAAGGTCTTAGGCTCTTAGCCCAGGATGGCCTTCAACTTGCAGTCTTCCTGACTCAGCTTCCAGAATGCTGAGATCACAGGTGTGCCCCACGATGCCTGGCTCTAAAGTCCATTTATTGATGAGCAGATATTAACTGCTCATTATACAGGAAACCCTGAACTTGCACCAGGAGTGTAGGTGGGGAAAAGACACGTTACTTTTTTCCCCCCAAAGCCCAGGGCTAGGAGGGGCCTGTGTGCAGACACAATACATTACAAGTGGGCAGCTTGAAGCAGCAGAACCGGAAGCCAAAGAATTTAAATGAAGGTGTCAGCGGGGTCAGTTTCTTTTGGAGCAGTGGTTCTCAACCTTCCTGATGCTGTGACCCTTTCATACAGTTCCTCATGTTGTGGAACCCCAACCATAAAATTATTTCGTTGCTGCTACTTTTAACTGTAATTTTACTACTGTTAGGAATTGTAAATATCTGATAGGCAGAATATCTGATATGGGACCCCTGTGACAGGGTCGCTCTACCCCTAAAGGGGTCACCACATACAGGTTGAAAACCACTGTTCTGGAAGCGGAGAGAGACACTATTCTGTCTCTCTCCAAACTTCCATTGGCTGACCACAGTCCTTGGTAGAGACACATCCTTGCACATCCCTCTGATCTCTGCCTCTATCCTTGTATTTACTGCCTCTGTATCCTCTTTTATGCATTGTTATGTTTTGGTTTTTGAGATGAGGGTCTACATAGCCCAGGCTGGCCTTAAATTCTTGACCCTCCTGTCTAATATTCCTGAACGCTAGAACAGAATCATAGGCATGTACCACTGTGCCCCTGCTCCCCCGCTCCTCTTATAAGGATAATAGTCATTGGATTTGCTTTGCCTTAAACCCATTGTCATCGAATCATCAAGATCCTTTGGCACACATGCCTTTAATCCCAGCACTCGGGAGGCAGAGGCATGTGGATCTCTGCGAGTTCAAGGCCAGCCTGGTCTACAGAGCAAGTTCCAGGACAGGCTCCAAAGCTACACAGAGAAACTATGTCCCGAAAAACAAAACAAAACAAACAAACAGAAAGATCTTTCACTACTCGAATTTGTGAAGACTCTGAGGTTCTGGGTAGACATGAAATTGGAAGGGAGTGTGTGTGTGGGGGGGTGCTATTTAACACAACCCACGTGGTCAGCCATGGAAAGATTTACCATGTAAAGCTGTAAGGGCAGGGTACACGTGACCCCTGGTAAACTGAGACCTAAGTGGTAAACAGCAACTCGAGAAACAGGAAGTGGACAGTGAGCACATGAATTATCCACCACACAGATCAGTAAAGTGTGACCCACCCAGGGAGGTGACTACCGAAGTCAGACGGAAGACAGAGAAGCAGGGGAGAAACACAATTCGTGAGATGTTTTATGGAGTTAAGTTTGGGTTGTAAATGTCTCTGAAAGACTGGAAGCAGGAGAAGAATCCAGAAAGTTCACCTTGGCTGAGATGAGCACGATGGTGAAGTCAGATGCAAGGGTCTTTTATCTCAAGGAAAAGCTCCAAGTGTTGGAACGCATGAGGCAGAAACTCTGTGGAGACGTTCCACATGTTGTCCCTAGCAACTAGCTGAAGCCACTCCCACTGAGCCAAATGTAGGGTTTTACAAAACACAGACAGGATCCAATGCTGGCCAGCCATGCCCCTGCATCCTGCTGAATCAACACTGACCCAAAGGGGTACGGGGACCCCAAAGGAGTCTGCAAGCCCTTCTCATACTTGTTCTCCGTCTAAGCAGGGAAAGGAGCTGGGATGTGAACAAGACTTTTCAATGACTGGCCTGTAAACACTACACCCGTCAGACGCATACACGCTCCCTTTTATGGTCCATGGACTGTACGTCCCTTAAATGCTACTTGGCGTCTGCTCACAGATAAATGTGTGTCCTCAGTAGCTCTCAGTCTGCTCATCATAGGCCATCCACTCCCTTGAGCACCCAGGCAGCTGTCTCACATCTTCCCTTCTGGACTCCAAAAGCTCCCGGATTGTTTACCTTCCTCTTAACCCGCCTCCCCTTTTGGAAAGTGAATAACTTGAGGGCAAGAAATTTTGTCTTGTCCACCTCTAAATTCTCAACTCCTAACATGCATACATCTCACCAAGTGAATGGACAGATGGTGAGTGGGTGGATACATGGATTGGTGGGCAAGAGGATGACTGGTAGATGAATGGATGGATGGATAGATGGATGACTAGAGGATGGATGGATGGGTGATGGAAAGATGGACAGATGGATGGATGAACAGATGACATATGGGTGGATGATAGGCAAATAAGTGTATGTATGGATATATGGCTATATCTTTATGATACTATACTGGCTTCAAATCTAATAAATCAATAAAGTAATGAAATCAACATAGATTCATCAATTGATTATTAAAGTGCTTTGTGGGAGCTGCAGACATGGCTCAGTAGATAAGAGCACTTGTTGCCCTTAAAAAGGACTTGGGTTCAATTTCTAGCACTCACATGGTGGCTTATAACATCTATAACCCCAGTTCCTGAGGATCTAACAGGCACATGAGCACATACAGGCAAAACATATAAAGCAAAAAAATGTAGAAAAAAATTAAGTATTTTACACTGTCTACACCCGCATGAAAAACTGGAATGACACAAAGCATTGCTTGGCATTCTCAAGACTCACCTCATTCCTTCAGAAGCCATCTTGTCAAGATTAGGGGTGACCTTTGTTTCTGCCCAGTTTGCTCCCAGGTCACCCCATCCCATATCATCAGCCAAAATGATCACAATGTTTGGTTTGGGGGCTCTTGTTCTCCCACTGATGGAGAAATCCACGAGAGGGTAGAGAAATCCAGAGAAAGTCATGCCAACCAGCAAAACCTTTAGAAACAGCCAGCCCATGGTGGCACACACAGACTCCTGTTGTCTTGATCGAGTGATAACGGGCCACCACCACAGACTTCTCTAAGAGTTTTCTCTTTGTTCACCTTGAGTGCAGGAAGGCACCAAGGAGCATGGTTCTAGTTGGCAAAAACCGCTGGTGTTAAAAATGGCTACAGGAATGATAGAACTACAGAGAAAAGGTCCCCGTCTGGAATCCTAATCCAAGAGAGTCAGGAAATGTGTCACCCTAAATTGGATTGGTCCCCTGGAGATGTCTTCTCGTCACAGCTTAATAAGATGATTGGCTGGGTGCAGCATTCAACTATCAATGTCAATCACCACTCTTGGGCCACTTAGCTCGTAAGTGACCCTCCGCACTCAAGGAGGCTAGAGCCACAACACAAGTCTTGCATCTGCTTAGGACTCCAGCTGGTGATTACAGGATAAATTCTCACATCTGCAGAACACCTGGATGTTCTAGAAGCCACAGTCAGCCCCAAATGAGTTTCTGAGTTCCAGATGGTTGAGGTTTCTGTAAGGTTTCCTGAAAGAACAAAATCTGACAAGAAAACAAGAGTTGAAAACAGCCAGGCCAGTTGTGCTGCAGTCAGTAGCTGGGGAAATAATCACTTTCCCATGCCAACAGATGTTTTCCTTCTTATCTGAGTGCTTAACTGGCTCTCGGTTTCTTCCACCTGAAAAACAGGGATGAGAATAATATTCACAGCAGAGCTACAGTAACAGGATTGGCGGTAACATTCCAGATGACTTCTTACACCTCACCCATGCTATAGGTGAGACTACTGAAGCTCAGCACCCTGGGTAGGATGAATTATCAGCCGGATGATAGTCTGATAATCCCCTCCCTGAGTGCCTCCTCACACCCACCACCACAAGTGGTCAAACTCATGGAGAATTTTAGAAGAAAAGGTAAAGTCCCATTATCAAGACACAGTTGTTTATAATGGCCATGCTATGACCTAATGTTTCCATAAGAAACTCTTGGCATATGTTAATCTAGGAGGCTCAGAACACAGCCCTGTTGGCAGAGTGCTTGCCTAGATGACACAAAGCCCTAGGTTTGATCATAAACCAGGTGTGGTCAGTGTTCGACTGTAATACCAGCATTTGTGAGGCAGAGACAAGAGGGCCAGACATTTGAAATAATCTTCAACTAGTCTGAGACCAGCCTGAGATACCTAAGATACTGTCTCAAAGCAAACAAACAGCCTCCCCCAGAAAAAATAATTTAGGAAAAAAAGATAATTATGAAAACAAAGTTTATAATAGACTCTATGTGGAGAACATATGTCTGTTCTGTAGAATGCTTTCAATTTTTTTCTGTATGTTCATAATTTTCATAATTAAATGCTGCCAAAAAAGTTCCAAAGAATTAATAGAAACATGTCCCTGTACATTCTAAGCATGATGTTTTTAGTAAGAAAATCTGGGGCTGGGAGGTGTAGCTCATTGGTAGAGTGCCAATTTAGCACGCACAAGGCCCTGACTTCATCCCTACCCATCCCACCAAAAAAATCAAACAAACAACAACAAAAAACATTAAATCAATGATTCTCACCTTTGCACATGCATATACATTAGCAAACTCGGAGCTGAGGACGTAACTCAGTCGAGTGCTTGCCTAGCATACACATGCACAAAGCCCTGGATTTGAGCTCCAGCATTCCATAAACTGTACATGGTGAAATACATCCAGGATCCCAGCATTCTGGAGGCTGGGGCAGAAAGATCTAAAATGCAAGGTCATCCTCTAATATATAGCCAGTAAAAGGCCAGCCTGGGCTCCAAGAGACCCACTCTCAAAGAAAAATGCAAATTCAGTGGGAAGGCTGGGACCATTTTTTGTTCGTTGGACTGATTTCTCAAGACAGGATCTCACGTAGCGCCAACTTAGTATACAGCACAAGATGACCTTGAATTCCTGACCCTCGTACTGCTACCCCCCTCAAGCTGGGATTACAGGTGTGAGCCATCACATCTGGCTTTGAGAAATGAATGTGAGCAAGCCCCCAGGTGAGAACTTCACCATTTGTCCTTGGTTCATTCTTGGAATAGAAAGAGCTTGGAGAATAAGAATCTCATGACTCCAGGCCTAGGAGAGAAAGGAAACGGCATGGCCGAAGGGGCGATGACTCAGCCCCGGTGGACAGAGCCGAAAGCAGTGTATCATCAGACCAAGTTCCGACACCAGGGCTAGCACTCCAGGGCTGGAGGCAGCAGACAGAGCTGGGAACAAAGTCAAACCACTCTTCCTTTACTTCCAGGCTCTAAACCCGCCAGGTGACATGGTGTTGAAATTCTAGAGCAAATAACAGCCTCCCACCCATGGAAGCCATCAATGAACCAATCTGTAAAATAAAAAAAAATGCTACAGGCTGGGACTATTTCACATGCTATTTCTGAATAAATAAATAATACGTTGGGGGGGGGTGAGACAGGGTTTCTCTGTGTAGCCCTGGCTGTCCTGGAACTCTCTCTGTAGACAAGGCTAGCCTTGAACTCACAGAGATCCGCCTGTCTCTGTCTCTGGAGTCCTAGGATTAAAGGCAAGAGCCACCATTGCCTGGCCAAAAAAAAAAAAAAAAAAAAAAAAAAATTATGTTTCTTTGTGAGCCAGACATGGTGGAATGTCTCATCAATCCCAGCATTTGGGAGGCAGAAGCAGGTGGATCTCTGCGAGTTTGAGGCCAGCCTGGTCTCTGTAGCAAACTCTAAGCCAGTCAGGGCTGCATAGTGAGACCCCCATCTCAAAAAGAAAAAAACCTAATTATATGCTTTTTGTGCATATGTGTGTTCACACAAGCCATGGCACTCACATGTGGAGGTCAGAAGACAGCTTGCCGGATTCAGTTCTCTCCTTCCATCAGGTGGGTACCAGGGATCAAGCTCAGGCTATTAGGTTCGGTGGCAAGCACCGTCACCCATCTCAATAGCTAGGCATTCCGACCAGCTAATCCCACTGCTAGCTTCAGGGGATGGGGGTGATTGGAGTAACACATTCTGGAAGACCTTGATAAAAGCAAAGGACTGGTTCAAACCAAACAGAACAGCGTTGGCTCATCTGGGGGCTCCGTGAGCTAAGCGTTTGGAAATGCAAACTCTTTCCACTTCCCAAAAGGAGTCCTTTTCCCACTTGATTAGATTCAAGTAGTGTTGGCTGATCTCGAGGTCCCAAAGACTTCTCCCTTTCTGGAAGACTCTTGAATAAGGAGGGTGCTTACCAAACACTGTTCACCTGCCAGTTAATTCCCAGCCTCCTCCTACCGGCTTTAACCGCGAGCAACAGCCACAGGAGGTCTTTCTTCTCAAAGCCGCTTAGCTTAGGGCACCGGTGTGGCCTCATTTCTGGTCAATAATCCACCTCAGGATGACCTGGCCGTACAAGAATTCCAGGGGGAGGGAAATTCATTGAAGAAGGAAGCTAAAATTAAAGTGGAAATCGAACTAGACTGGCTTCCTCTGGAGTTCCAGGACAAGACATTCTTTTGAGGATTTGCAAAAGGAAGCAGGAACGCCGCACTTCAAATTGCCATAGAATGGAAGTGAGCTCAGCTGGCCAGCAGACTATCTCGGATTTTTTTACATCCAGACCGCCAAGGGGACCTTTAAGCCCTTTCTGATTATGTATTTACTTTCCTTAACTGAAGGGAAGAGACAAACCAGACGCTTGAAGATTGGGCTTGAACCCCGCTTCAGTAAAGAGTCATGCTGAGACTCTGAGCTCTTTGTCCTAAAGAAAGTGGCCCCACGTGTTGCCTGGGGATGTCACCCGATGTCAGTGTCCCAACTCTGTCCTTATGACTATCTCAAGAAGGAGGGCTAGAGAGACAGCCAAAGTGCTTGGGTTTTATATGGGTTCTGGGGAATTGAACTTATGAGGGCGTGACACAAAGACTAGTGTGGTGGCCCGGGCTTCTCCTCCCAGCACACAGATCCTTGAGGCTTTCTGGCCAGTCAGCCTAACCAAATTAGGAATTAGCAAATTCCAGGCCAGTGAAAGCCCCTGTCTCATCAAACAAGGTGGGAAGTGTCCCAAGGAAAGACATCTGAGGTTGACTTCCGGTCTGGATGCGCATGTGAACCCACGTCTCGAAAAAATGTGCACACAGAAAAGGAGAAGAGAGCAAGCACAGGCCAGGAGCTCTGTCCCAGAAGCGGGAGCCAAGAGGGAATCTTTGACAAACTAAACATGCACCCTTCTCACCGCTTCAGTGGAAGGTACTGGGCCACCTATCTCGGCACATCACTAAAGGAAGCCCATCAGCTTGCATGGCTCACTGTGATGGATCCCTACCAAGCAGGCATCAACAACGCCCAAGACCTCCACTTTCCCAAGGCAAGCAGTGCAAACCTCAACTGCCAATCAACCTCACCAGTTCCTGTTCTCTCCAACCCCCACTTCGCTGGTCTTGATTCTAGAGGTTGAACCCAAGCCCTTCATGCATGCGAAGCAGCTGCTAGTCCATCACCTACATCCCCAGCCAGAGACCAGCTATAAAGCAAGGCTGCGAGGTATGGTAAAGGTCGGTTTCTCTTTCGTTTCCAGGCTTGCTCATGGCTGGGGGTAGAGAAAGGACCCGCGAGCAGGCTCTCAGCTGACATGCATGGGCGAAGGCAACCTGAAGGTCTGCTGAGCAGTGTCTGAGCAACCCCGTGCTGGAAGTCCACTCAATCACCTGACCCTGGCTTCCCACAGACCTCCCTGTGGCCAAGCATCCTCCTAGAGAACCTTGAAAACAGCTGAAATAACAAGGAGGTTGGACAGACCTTTCTGGCACGGGGCTCTGTTGGTTTTCCAGAAATGAAGTTTCTGAGGAACGAAGGCCAACAGAGACAAAGGAGAAAGGAGAAGTGCCTGATTGCAGAGTCCTGCTGTCCCACCAGCCACTTCAGAGCAGGGTCTACGCACTGGCAAGGGGCCAGGAGTCACATGGGGACTTACCAGGAGGGGCCTTGGGTGTCCACATGTGGTCTAGGGTGGTTCTCCCAGGCACTCAATCATTGGTCCACCACATGGGCACTAGCACTTTAATCTAGGTACTGTGCACACAGCTGTAAATGAAACAAGACAAAATCCCCACCCCCGAATCACTTAGTCTTTTTTCTAGGGGAGTGGAGGATGGAGTAAGTAAAATGTGAATGCTGTGGAGCAAACCACAGCAGAAAGGTGTCAGATATGTGGGGTGGGCAGGTGCACAGTCAAAAAGGGGTTTGGGGTACTCCCACCCAAAAGGTGGTCTACGTCTCTTAGGAGAGAGGGGAATAATAAGCCGTGTTGAAAGGGTACCACAGGCAGAGAAATCAAGGAAGGCCAAGATCTAATGCAGGGGACGAGCCACAAAGAAGCAAGTGTGAGGACAAGTGTCCTGATACTTCCTATTGCCGTGATAAAGACCCAGGACCAAAAGCAACTTGGGGAAGAAAGGGTTTATTTCACCCTAGATCTTAGACCATTAGCAAGGGAAGTCAGGGCAGGAACCTGGAGACAGGAACTGAAGCGGAGGCCATGGAGGAACACCGCTTACAGGCTTGCTCTCCATGGCTTGCTCGGCTTCTTTTTTGTTTGCTTGCTTTGTTTTTCTGAAACAGGGTTTCTCTGTGCAGCCTTGGCTGTCCTGGAACTCACTCTGTAGACCAGACTGGCCTTGAACTCACAGAGATCTGCCTGTCTCTGTCTCCCGAGTCCCGGGATAAAAGGTGTGTACCACCACCACCTGGCTCAGCTTGCTTTCTTATACCATCCAGGACCACCTGCCTAGTGACAGTGTTGCCCAGTGGGCTGGGCGCTCACATATCAATCTTTAATCAAGAAAACCTCACAGACTTGCCCACAGGCCAGTCGGGTACAGGAATTTTCTCAGTTGACCCAAGATGACCCAAGCTAGTGTCAAGTTGACAAATAAACTAACCTTACCAGCCCCAAGGAGGGTGAATGAGTGACTAGCGTAGGAGTCAGAGAGCAACCCAGAGGGGAAGCCAGAAGAGGGCTGGCAGGAGGGCAAGATTGAACAATGACAGAATCCCTGGGGCTGCTGTGTTGAGAAGACAAAAATGTATTTGTAAGCTGTTGGGGAGAGGAAGAAGCCGAGACCTTCGGAATCTCTGGGTGAGGTCAGAGAACGGTGCTGGGCTGAAGTGGGCAGACACACCTAGGGGGCAGGATGCTGAGGCAGCTCCCTATCAGGTGACACTCTGCAGTGCCTAAGTGGGGGGGTGACCCCTTAAATTTTGCTTTATGGCAGAAAACCAGTTACCAACAGAGCCAGACAAAAGGTTATATAAGAGATGTCTTAGTGGACCTTTCCTTTGCCCCTAGACCTTGTCAGTATGGTGCTGTGGAACAATCTTTTTGTACACTATAAATATGTATTACTCTCATTGACTAAGAAAGAGCTGATTGGCCTATAGCTGGGCAGGAGGAGGTTAGGTGGAAAAACCAGACTAAAAGGATGCTGGGAGGAAGAAGGGCAGAGTCACGGGAGTGAGAGTAGTCACCAGCCAGACACAGAAGGAGCTGGACACACAAAATGGGATAGAATTAAAAGCCATGAGCTTCGGGGCAGCATATAAATTAATAGAAATGGGTTAAGTTGAAAGAGCTTGTTAGTAACAAGCCTGAGCTACTGGCCAAGCATTTATAAGTAATTTTAAGTCTCTGTGTGGTTATTTGGGGGCAGAAGGTAGGGACAGGAAGGAAAACTCCATTTACAGTATGGAGATGGCTCAACTTAGATTACTTTCTGAGTGTGTGAGTGTGTGTGTGTGTGTGTGTGTGTGTGTGTGTGTGTGTGTGTGGTAGCAAGAGCAACAAAAGCTCAACCAAGGATTCAAAGAATATTTTTAAATTATTTTTTCTTTCTTTTTTTTTTTTTTTTTTTTTTTGAGACAGGATCTCACTATGTAGCCCAGGCTGGTCTCAAATTTTTCGTCCTCCTGCCTCAGCCTCCAGAGTCTGGGAATTCAGTCCTCAGCCTCTATGCTCAGTTCAAAGAATATCTGTAGGGATCTGAACTGTCAGCTTGACTGCATTTATGATCATCGTGGCAACACACCTCCATACCTCTGGGTATGTCTACAAATACCCCAGAAAAGTTTAACTGAGTATCGAGTGTCACCCTGTATGTTAGCAGGAACATCCTATGGAGGTTGGGATCCTGGACTGAAGAAAAGAAGAAAATGAGTTCTCTCTCCTGCTTCCTGACTGCAGACAAAGTGACCTTCCCTTCCTGCCTTCACGCCTTCCCACCTTGATGGACTTCTACATCCCCTCACAGATAGATCTAATCTGTGTCCCGGGATAGCCATAAATGTGGCCCAACACAAAACCATAAATTTCCTTAAAACAGTAGGAGATGCATTTCAATTTAGTTTTTGTTTTGTTTTGTTTTTGGTGGAGGTGTGGGGTTTGCAACTCAATTTTGTGGTTCTCCAGCCTGAACTTCACAGATGACAATGTCCTGTCTCACAAAAGACTGACTCTGCCTTCTGGTAAATTCAACACACCCTTCCTTCTTTTCTTAAGTCCCTTTCATCACGTTTTTGTTACAGCAAAGACAAAAGTAACTGATACACCTTTGAAAGAATGCCTTTACTGAAGCCAGATGGTGGTGGCGCATGCCTTTAGTCCCAACACTCTGGAGGCAGAGGCAGAAGTATCTCTGAATTCCAGGCCAGCCTGGTCTACAGAGAGAATTTCAGGACAGCCAGGACTACACAGAGAAATCCTATCTCCAAAACAAAACAATAGAATGCCTTCACTAAGGTTGGGAAAGCAATTCCACTTAATTCACTAAGACGTTTATTTACGTGTTTATTTATGTATTCTGCAGCTCAAGCCAGATCCTGTTTGTCCCTTCTGGGAGCCAGAGATGCCAGGAAAGCCATCGCCAGGAGAGAAAGGACATCCTGCCCAGGCTTAGGCCAAGACCACCTGTGGAGACTGTCACAGAAGGAAACCATGTGGTAGAAACCAATCTGGGAGAGCCAAAGTGGCTTCTTGCCATGCATCTAAAAACCCAGTAGCCCTTCAGAAGTTATATCTGGGTCTTGAGGCACAGAGCAGAGGTCCAGAGTGAGCAGCTGCTCCTCTAAATCCCACCTTCCCTTTAAACCTCTCTCCTCCACCTGAGGACACAAATCAAAACCCACCCCCGGAACACAGTTAATTTTAAAGATAGCCATGTTTACTTATTATTTGCTAAATATTTTATTATAGATGTGGCAAAACATGCCAACCTTGAGAAACCCATGCATGCTTATTCAGCTTGTAGACCCAACAATCAACACATAGTCAGTCTGATCAAGATATCTACCCCTCCCCTCTCAATATATATGGAATTGTTTCTATTTGTTTATTTTTAGTCGTGTGTGTATATATTTCTCTACATGTGTATGGCATGTGGATGTGAGTGTTCTCGGACACCAGAGGAGGGTATTGAATCCTCTAGAGCAGGAGTTAGAGGAAGCTGTGAGCCTCTTGACCAGGGTGCTGGGAATGAAACTCAGGTCCTCTGGGAGAGCAAGCAGGAAGCACTCTTAGCCACGGAGCAGCCATCTCTCCAGACCCATACTAGATTATTTTTAAGTAAATCCCAGATACCATGTGTTATGTTTTAGATATGAACTATCCTCACTCAAAAAGTTTCTGTGGTAAAAGCTTAATTGCAACTTACACACTTTTATTTTTATATATATACTTATTTTTATTGTATGAATGTTTTGCCTGCATGTATGTCTGTTCACCACGTGTGTGCCTGGTCACTGAAGAGGTCAGAAGAAGGCATCAGAACCACTGGAACAGGAGTTACAGGCAGCTGTGAGCCACTGTATGGGAACTGGGAAAACTTGGGTCCTCTGCAAGAGCAGATGGTGCTCTTAACCACTGAGCCATCTCTCCAGGCCCTGTTGATGTGCTTTCAAGTCTATTTACTTATTTTATGTGCATGTGAGTGTGCCTGGGGATATGTATGTGCACCATGTGAGTGTAGGAGCCTGCAGAGTCCAGAAGAGGACATCAGATCCCCTGGAACTAGAGTTACAGACGGTTGTGAGCCACCATGTGGGTGCTGGAAACCAAACCCAGGTTCTGTGCAAAAACAGTAAGTGATCTTAACTGTTGAGCCATCTCTCCAGGCCGATGATGGGCTTTTAGGAGGTGACTGGTTCATGGGGAGACTAACTTCATCAATGGATTAACCCACCAATGACTTCAGAACTGAATGGGCCATTAGGAAGTGAGGCCTAATTCAAGGAAGTAGGTCATATCTCTTGTCTCCAGATCCTTCCTGGCATCCTACTCTCCAGTTGTGCTCTCTCTAGCCTGGTGCTCTGCCCCACCACAGATCCAGAGCCTCTGAAATGTGAGCCAAAATATATCTCCCTTACATTGTTTTTTTCAAGCATTTTGTCACAGCAATAAACAGCAGTTTCACCCACAAATATTCCTATACAGTTCTCTAAAAGATGAAAAAACTTAAATAACTACAGTCTCATTAACACTTGACTTTTTTTTTTTAGATTAACAGTTATTTGTTACTGATTCAGAGCCAACAAATATCCAGATGTCTTCCTTTCTTATTGTTTTGGGTTTTTTATTTTGTCTTTAAATGTTTAGTTTGGTTGTGTGTGTGTGTGTGTGTGTGTGTGTGTGTGTGTGTGTGTGTGTGTGTGTGTGCTTTGAGTATCATTCCTCAGGAGTTGTCCAGCTCTCAGGCTAGACTTGCTGGCCCACAAGTTCAACCCCTACAGCTTGCTTTTTCACGTGGGTGCTAGGCTATGAACTCAGGTCTGCACACGTGGGCAGCAAGCATGTCACCCACTGAGCCATCTCGCAGGCACCTGGCTTTCCTTTGGGGACAGGCAACATAGCCCAAGCTGGCCTGGAACTTTGATCCTTCTAGCTCAGCCTCGTAAGGGCTGGCATGACAGGTATGCACCACCACACCCGGCTCTCACAAACATTTCCATAGCTCTTCATTTTAATCCACATCTAGACGAGGTCTGCCTGACATACGATGCACTCAGTTCCAGTCTCTTCTCATTGAAATGCTCCCCTCTCCTTTTGCCTGCAGTATACGTAAAAATAAATTGGGTTGTTTGTTCCACACTTGGTTGCAAAGTTTGGATTCAGCTAACTGTATCCCCTATGTTATCATTTAATAAAATGTTTCTTCCGCTCTCACTTTCTCTGCAAATGGATTAGAGGATGCAGAAGTAAGATCCGATTCGGCCTCGATTGTTGTTGTGTTTGCTCGTTTGTATGTTTCATCGGACTCCTAAAACTTGGACCACAAAGCCCTAATTCCCTGTGTGATGCTAGTATCTAGAGAAGGTCCCGAAGGTAATTAGGGCAGATGAGGTCATGAGGATGGAGGCCTCCTAACCAGACTAGTGGAGACAATGCATGTAGCCCCAAAGTAGCCACATACAAGCCAGGGAGGGGCTCCTTTGGAATGGCTCCATGGTGGCCTGCCATGCCTACCTGGCATTTACAGGGCTGCTAGGAATCTGAACTCCAGCCCTTGCATGGCAAGCACTTTACCCACTGAACCATCTCCCCAGCTCTCTTTTCTTTCCTGGAGTGCTGCAGAGCAAACTATGGGCCTTTTGCATGTTACATAAGCACTCTGCCACTAAGCTATAACCTACACCCCATGTTTCTAGACTATGAGTCCAGCGTAGACACCTGCTACCAGGGTGACACTGGATTCCTCATTTAGCTGGAAACAAAGCCATAGTTAACTTCCTCCTTCACTTCCAACAATATAGGAGAATGAAACAACCCAAGCCGTGCTCAGGAAGGCTGACTTAACATTATGTTTCTACCTCCTCCTTGCTTTGAGGGCTAAAAAGGATACCAGATTCAGAGCACTTTGGAAAACGAAGGTGACGCAAGCCCAAAGCCTTACTGAAATCACTATTGAACAAAAGCATCCCCAGTGCGGGTAGTGAAATCCAGACTCCTGCAGTTATTTGCTTGTCTCCACTGGAGATGCATGTCAGCCAGCGCTGGTGGTAGCCTCTGGAAGAAGGAAGAAGTCACAAACACCTGGGTCCTAAGCAATGTCACAAGCAAAGTGAAAGATCGTTCTGGTTTACATTTTCCAGCTTCCAGACTATGGCTCCTTGTCACACAATCCCGTTACTGGTTGTGCTATCTCTGGTAAACGCGAGCTAGGTCCCTCTGCTGGGCAGAGTCTGCTGACAGCTGACATTTCTGGTAAAAGCTCTCTTCCAGCAAACCTGGTTTGGGGCACTACAGCGATGAGGTCTAAATGACCGGGTGGTGGGAGGTGGAAGGGGAACTTCCCTTTTGCTCTCTTCCTAACTGAACGGAGGAGCTAGGCGACTCATCCACTGGTCTGAGCATGCCAGCCACTCAGCAATGGCAGGAACTTCAATATGTTTTATGCACGACCTAATCCCAGTACCTTGCCCAGAGAGTGCTCAATCGATATTTGCTGAATGAGGGCATTTAACACAAACAATGAAGTCCCAGCCCAATGGGCCCTGCCCTGAAAACCCGGCTTCATCTCCTCGCTTTCCCTAACCTCAGATGACCTTTCTAACTTCTCCTTCCAGACTCTCACTTGTAAAACTTTACTTGTTGAAAGGCTGTCTTAGGGGGCTGGAGGTGTGGTTCAGTGGTTGAGTGCTTGCCTAGCACGTGTCTGGTTCCATCCCCAGCTCCAAAGAAAAAAGAAAAAGGGGGAAAAACCAAACAGGGACCCGAGAGATGGCGAAGTCAGCAAAGCACTTGCTGCTCAAGCATGGGGACCTGAGT